AAGGAAGACCAGTTAATAAGACGATTATTCAAATTTATGCATCAACCACTGAGGCCAAAGATCAAGAAACTGAAGATTTTTACCAGCTTCTGCAGTCTGAAACTGATCGAGCATGCAATTAGGATGCATTCATAATCACTGGTGATTGGAATGTGAAAGTTGGAAACAAAGAAGGGTTGGTAGTTGGAAAACATGGCCTTGGTGATAGAAATGATGCCAGAGATCGCACGATAGAATTTTGCAAGACCAGTGACTTCTTCATTGCAAATACCTTTTCTCACCAACATAAACTGCAACTGTATACATGGACCTCTCCAGATGGAATACACAGGAATCAAATCTACTACACCTGTGGAAAGAGAGGATGAAAAAGCTCAATATCATCAGTCAGAACAAGGCCAGGGCCAACTGCAGAACAGACCATCAAGTCCTCATATGCAAGTTCAAGTTGAAACTGAAGAAAATTAGAACAAGTCCACGAGAGCCAAAGTACGACCTTTAGTATATCCCACCTGAATTTAGAGACCATCTCAAGAATAGATTTGATGCATTAAACACTAATGACCAAAGATCAGACAAGTTGTGGAATGACATCAAGGACATTATATATGAAGAAAGCAAGAGGTCACTAAAAAGATAGGAAAGAAAGAAAAGGCCAAAATGGATGTCAGAAGAGACTCTGAAACTTGCTCATGAACGTCGAGTAGCTAAAGCAAAAGGAAGAAATGATGAAGTAAAAGAACTGAACAGAATATTTCAAAGGGAGGCTCAAGAAGACAAAGTAAAGTACTATAAAGACATGTGCAAAGAACCGGAGATAGAAAACCAAAAGGGAAGAGTACACTCGGCATTTCTCAAGCGGAAGGAGCTGAAGAAAAAATTCAAGCCTCGAGTTGCAATAGTGAAGGATTCTACAGGGAAAATATTAAACAATGCAGGAAGCATCAAAAGAAGATGGAAGGAATATATAGAGTCATTATACCAAAAAGAATTGGTCGATGTTCAACCATTTCAAGAGGTAGCATATGATCAGGAACCGAAGGTACTGAAGGAAGAAGTCCAAGCTGCACTGAAGGCATTGGTGAAAAACAAGGCTCCAGGAACTGATGGAATATCAATTGAGATGTTTCAACAAACGGATGCAGCACTGGAAGTGCTCCCGCATCTATGTCAAGAAATTTGGAAGACAGCTACCTGGCCAACTGACTGGAAGAGATCCATATTTATGTCTATTCCCAAGAAAGGTGATCCAACCGAATGTGGAAATGATCGAACAATATCATTAATATCACATGCAAGTAAAATTTTGCTGAAGATCATTCAAAAGCAGCTGCAGCAATGTGTCAACAGGGAACTCCCAGAAATTCAGGCCAGATTCAGAAGAGGACGTGGAACCAGGGATATCATTACTGATGTCAGATGGATCCTGCTGAAAGCAGAGAATACCAGAAAGATATTTACCTCTGTTTCGTTGACTATGCAAAGGCATTCGACTGTGTGGATCATGACAAAGTATGAATAATATTGTGAAGAATAGGAATTCCGTAACACTTAGTTGTGCTCATGAGAACCTGTACATAGATCAGGAGGCAGTTGTTCAGACAGAACAAGGGGATACTGCATGGTTTAAAGTCAGAAAAGGTGTGCGTCAGGGCTGCATCCTTTCACCATACCTATTCAATCTGCATGCTGAGCAAATAATCTGAGAAGCTGGACTATATGAAGAAGAATGGGGCATCCGGATTGGGAGAAGACTCATTAACAACCTGCTTTATGCAGATGACACAACCTAGCTTGCTGAAAGTGAAGAGGACTTGAAGCACTTACTGATGAAGATCAAAGACCACAGCCTTCAGTATGGATTATACCTCAACATAAAGAAGACAAAAATCCTCACAACTGGACCAATAAGCAACATCATGATAAACAGAGAAAAGATTGAAGTTGTCAAGGATTTCATTTTACTTGGATCCACAATCAACACCCATGGAAGCCGCAGTCCAGAAATCAAAAGACACATTGCACTGGGCAAATATGCTGCAAAAGTATTGAAAAGCAAAGATATCACCTTGAAGACCAAGGTGGGCCTGACCCAAGCCATGGTATTTTCAATCGCATCATATGCATGCAAAAGCTGGACAATGAATAAGGAAGACCGAAGAAGAATTGATGCCTTTGAATTGTGGCATTGGCAAAGAATACTGAATATACCGTGGACTGCCAAAAGAATGAACAAATCTTTCTTGGAAGAAGTACGACCAGAATGCTCCTTAGGAGCAAGGATGATGAGATTACGGCTTACATACTTTGGACATGTTGTCAGGAGGGACTAGTCCTTGGAGAAAGACATCATGCTTGGTAAAGTACAGGGTCAGCAAAAAAAAGGAAGACCCTCAACAAGATGATCTGACACAGTGGCTGCAACAATGGGCTCAAGCATAACAATGATTGTGATCATGGTGCAGGACCAGGCAGTGTTTCGTTCTGTGGTACCTAGGGTCGCTATGAGTCGGAACCAACTCCACGGCACTAACAACTGGAACAATCAATTGTGTTCTTTAGTGGCAAGCAACAGAGATATTATTTGGCCAACGTAAGCACAAAGAGATTTATTAATAGGAGTTGAGGTAACCCACAGAATGAAGCCTGGAGACCACCCAGCCAAAACTGTGCCACGAAAATGCTCATGTGTGGCTACCTCTGCTGCCACAGCCTGACAGCCTTACCTCCAACCATTTTCCCCATACTGAGCTAGATTCTATTCAGCTGAACTTGTCTCAGTTACTCCAGTCTTCCATGCCTTCTCCAAGCTGGGAGTTTTTGTATGTGTTTCTACTAATATCGTCTTTACCTGACTGACCCCTCTTTGTCCTTCAGGTGACCCTTTAGGCTTCATTTATTCCAGAAAACTTTTCCTGATCCCAAGCCCAGTGTCCTTTGTAGGTGCTGACATAGCCCTTTGTTCTTCTCACATCATAACACTTGACAAACTAGGTTATATATGCCTATTTACTTATTTGTATCCCTTGTAGACTGTAAGTTCCACGAAGGCAAAAACCGTGTCTTTTCCAAAATTATATCTCAGTACCGAATACACTGTTTGGCATGGAGTAGATACTCCATGAGTACATTATTTTCTGTCCCAGCTTCTGTTTCAGAAATTGGTCAATTCAAGAATCGCAAGGTTTATTTCAATTACCTAACTGGATTTTCAGCTATAGGTGTGACTGAGACAAAATGTTTCCCAATTTCTCTCAGAACTAAGTTCAATGTAAAGTCTGAATTTCCCTCAGGACAAGAAAACAGCTGCTCTTCCAAGGGGGAAAAAAAATTTGCAAGAGATGAAAATATGGTCTGCTTTGTTTTTAGCACAAAAACATACATTTGGCCCCAGAGTCTCTCCCTTCCCATCTTCTAAAACTTTCTAGACCGTCCTGCCTATTATTTTATGAACAATATCTAGGAAAAGAACAGCACACTTACGAGTAACAGGGGAGTCATTACCTCAAAATATTTAGTTCAAAATAGCAATGGGATTTAAACTGCTGCTCAATTATTTTGCAGATAATGAAAAGCTTTTTATTTAATTCTGGTGATGTCGCTATATAAATGTCCTAGAGAAGGCACATGGTTTCCTTACGTGTCCTTGAAGATAAGATTAGACGCTTGCAGTCCTCATAGCTCTTTTTACTTTCTTTTGAGGCCTTATCAGACATTTATATCATTTACGTATTATTTGTTTAATGTCTGCTCCACTTCCTCCCTTTACCGCCCCACATGACTTTAGCTCCTTGAAGACAAGGACGTTGTCAGTCTGGATCAAGAGTCAGCAAACTTTAGCCCATGGGCCAAATCTAGCACATTGCCTGGTTTTGTATGGCCTGCAACCAAAGAATACTTTTTACATTTTTAAGGAGTTACAAAAAATTCCAAGGAAGAATAATATTTTTGACATAGAAATAATATATCAAATTCAAATTTAAGCGTTCATAAATTTCTATTGGCACACAGCCGTGTTCCTTCATTTCCATATTGTCTATGCCTACAAGGGCAAAGTCGAGTAGTCCAGACAGAGACTAAACTCCAAAATATTTGCTATCTGGCCCTTTAGAGAAAAGCTTGCCGACCTCTAGTTTAGAACACAGCTGTATCCCCAGCACCTGAAACATTGTCGGTGAGCGACAGTATGTCAGATTAATTGTTGAATGAGCGACAACTATGTCAGATTAATTGTTGAATGAATGAATATAAACGAGCATAGCTGGACACAAGAAAAGAGTCAGATGATAAAGTTTCAAATATTTCATTGAAAATAAAAAATGAAAACCAAATTATTTAGGGCCAAACCAAAACCAAACCCAATGCCATCAAGTCAATGCCGACTCATGGTGACCCCACAGGATTTCCAAGGCTGTCAATCTCTACAGAAGCAGACTACCGTGTTTTTCTCCCATGCAGCCCTGCCACTGGTGGTTTCCAACTGTCAACCTTTCGGTTAGCAGTCAACTGCTTTAACAATTACGCCACCAGGGCTCCTTGGTTTAGGGGCAGATGAGCAGAATCAAACTGACTAAAAATATCAATATAATACTCTAACATTCAATGAAGCTAGAACTTTAATAAGGAAGAACGTAGAAAGGGAAACAGGAGACTCTGGGAAGTGCATGAGAATCCCCTACGTCACTCACCGTGCCTACTACACATGTTGTCTTGAATTAGCAACCCTGGTAGGTAAGGTAAAGCGATCGACTGCTAACCAAAAAGTTGACAGTTCAAAATCACCAGCAGCTCCGTGGGAGAAAGATGTGGCAGTCTGCTTCCACAGAGATTTACAACCTCATAAACCCTGTGGGGTGGCTATGAATTGGAATCGACTCGGGGGCAGTGGGTTTTCTTGGTGGGTTAGTAAGGTACTTGATCTTCACTAACAGGGCATTTATTAAATTAAAAGTGAAAATTGTACCTACTTCATCTTGATGCTTCTTCCAACTTATACATTAGAGAAAAATGATAATAAGAAGTATACTTGTTCACTTTAATGCTTCTCTTCACTTAGAGGAGATTGTGATAAAAAAATTTTTAAAAAAACTCCTTTACCACTAACAGCAGTTCCATCTATGCTGTCTTTCAGAACACGAGAAGAAAGCTGATTTTCAGTGCCTCTGGCCTTCCTGTCGAAAGCAGACAAAGAGTGTATGAAGACTGCTCAGATATGTCAGAGACTTCCTCCCATGATTCTTTCTACGATTCCCTGTCAGACGTGCAGGAAGAAGGCAAGAATGCTGACTTCTTCCCCGAGCTATCTGCTTTTCTCAGCCAGGAAGAGATAAACAAGAGTCTTGACCTGGCCCGGAGAGCTATAGCCAACTCTCAAACGGAAGATTTTGACTCGGAAAAGGAGGTCTCACAGATTTTCAACACCTCTCCTGTCAGCCTCTGTGAAAATCCTTCCCATCAGGAGGCCAAGCTGGGTGAGCAGACCTCCTCAGGAAGACCCCAGGAGACCAGGCCAACACCTGCCCAGCCTCTGGCAGAAGAACAAACTCAGAGTATCTCTTCACCTGTTTCAAAGAGGAAACCTGCCTCATCACCCCTGCTTGCCAGGCCCAGCTACATCCGGAGCCTCCGAAAGGCTGAAAAACGGGGTGGAAAAACTCCAAACACCACCGTAAAGCCCAAACCAAGGTATCAAGGTAAGACTGGCCCGCAGAGCCAGCTGTGTGACAAGGCAGCTAATTTCATTGAAGAGCTGACGTCCATATTTAGAGAAGCTGCAAAGCCGAGAAACAGAAGCCCAAATGGGGAGTCCTCATCACCAGACAGTGGGTACCTGTCTCCTAAAACCCAGCCGTCGGCCCTGATGAGTGCCTCAGCCAGCCATAGCCCCACAGAAGACCAACAGGAGTCAGAAACAGAGGTGAAGGTGCCCGAGGCCAGGCACTGCTACCAGGCCCACCAGGACCGGGCCGTGCCACGCAGTAGCGTCTCTCACCCACCACCCCAGAGTGCACTCCACTGCCCGTCCGCGCCTCGATTCATCCAAAAGCTGAGGAGCCAGGAAGTGGCAGAAGGAAGCAGAGTTTATTTGGAGTGCAGAGTCACTGGAAACCCAACTCCTCGAGTCAGGTAAGAATCTGGTGCTGTGAACATCTAATGATTGGTGTTGACTTTGGGTTTTATTTTGATGTGGGTGGAGATAAGTTTTCAGGTTATAGTCAGCCCTTCTAGAACCTGAGGTAAAGTGTTACCAAGTAGTTACAAGGCAAAAAGCATCCCAGAATCACAAACAGTGGTCCTGTTAACGTGTTCCCCCCAGTACATCTGTTGTCATGGCGGATCTGTGCTAACTCAGAGGGAAGGCGCAGAGGAGAACAAACAGCAAACTGGTTGCGATAGAGGATTATGGAAATAATAGGCACCAGGGAAATTTAACATGTGAAATTGATTTATGGAAAGCACTGTGAAAATGTGTATATGTTTGAGCATGAGCCGCTGATGATGGTTGAAAGTGTCTAAACTAGAAAAATCCCGTTTGTCTGGCAGTACAACTAAAAGGTGTGCAGAGGCCAACCGCAAGGTTACTCCCCAAATAAATCATCTGGTCTAAGACGTAGGCTCCATTGACACGCATTCGGTAAAGCTAGACACGCCCACATGTCTCCAGTGCGATGTTACCAAAGAAGGCAGAACTTCTCTAATGAAGAAAACAGACTTGATGAACCATACTGGGTGCCGAAGGTCTGTTATTCATGCACAGGCCCGGCTGCTGGCGCAAGAATACAGCAGAAAATAGCAATGAGATGAGTGGGCAGAGTTAGCGGGAGTCAACAAACATACTACCATGTTACGTCCATTATCATTTCTATAAATTCGTCCTCCTTCATTGTAGGATTTTCCTGGGCGAAAAGGTTAAAGGGAGGGACCCTGAAATCAGACACCATCTTTTAGCCATGGTGTCTCCTTAGGCGAGTTCCTTCACCTCTCTGTGACTCAGTTTCTTCTTTTGCGGAATGGAAATTATAATAGTGCCGACGCCTTTTTGTTTTATGAAAATTGAATGAAATAATGTGTGTAAAAAACGAAACGGCGCCTTGCACATAAGAAATCTTCCAATAGTGTCGGCTCTCACCTTTATTATTTCTCATTTCTTAATTTCACACGACCAAGTGAAAATAACGTTTCAAAATTAGGATTATACTACAAAAAATAAGCCATTCAATCATTTGTTTTAAAAGTTTTGCTTTTATTAATAAAGAACACTTAACCTAAATTGGGAATGCTGGTGACGTAGTGGTTAAGAGCTACGGCTGCTAACCAAAAGGTCGGCAGTTCGAATCCACCAGGCACTCCTTGGAAATCCTATGGAGCAGTTCTCCTCTGTCCTTTAGGGTTGCTGTGAGTCAGAAACGACTCGACGGCAACGGGTTTTTTGTTTTACCTAAATTACATAAATAAAAAAACTAAATTCAAAGCTGTGAACTTTGGCACTGGTAAAGCAGACATCATTGGTTAAAAAATCGCAACACTGGTAGTTTCGTATTAACTTAGTATAACGTATAACGTGAATCATGAACTTTATTATACCTCTCACCTTACGTACTTTTCTCGTGGTGCTTTTTTAGCTGGACAGATTATTGCTTGCAAACATGAAGTAAGCATTAGCGTTACTGGCTGTAAAGTTACATAACTAGAGGCGCCATTTTTTTTTCCCCCAACCGATTTGTTCAACAAATTCACCTTGAGCCATTTTTTTACGGTAATTGTACTTTTTATTTTCTGCCAGAACTGACACCAGAGGGCAGTAAAAACTTCCTAATGCGATCATTTGCTTAAATAGTCTAAACTCTGCATTTATATGTCTTTTCCACAGAAGAAAATTTTCTTTATTGTTTTCCCTATGAGCGAAATAAAATTGAGTCATTCTGTCAGATTTTATGAAAAATTTTTAGATTGCCAGTAATCTTGGGGACAAATAATTTTCTTCATGTAGAAATACCTATCATTCAAAACAGTGCCACAGGTTTTCAAGCTCCATATGGCTCCGCCTATATTTGCCTACAAAATAAGCCCCCTTCCGGGTGGCTTACAGTCACAAGTAAGTATATCTTAACTTTTTAAAAATGGCAAAAAGCAGTCTACTTAGAATCAAAGGAATACGTCAGGTGAGCAGACCATAAATACTGGATTAAAGTTAACATTTTCACAAGAAGGTACAAGAGTAAGTAAATTCAGTTAACTGTCAATTCTAGGGGCCGTAAAATTCATGCTTTGCTTTTTTTGGGGGGGGCATTAATTTAATTATTGGTATAATGTTATTAACTAGCTTTCTTGTGGTGTCTCCAGTCTACCGAAGTCCATGCCCAATGTTCATCCGTCATTACAAACTGTGACTTTCTGGAGTCATAAAGGCTTTGATGGGAATGCTCCGTTGTTTAGAGTTTGTCGGTCACCACTGTTGTTACCTTTTGAGTTTTTGTTTTGAGAAGGAGAGTGTAGATGTGCATTGGGTTTTCTTAATTGCTCTTCCAAAGATCTTGATCTTCTATGCTATTTATTTATTAGCGCACCAAATGCTAAGAACATTGAGTTCTTTTGACCACATGAGACAATCAACAGTCTAAAGAGACAAATCCTTCTTTGAAAGGAATTTTATATAAGGAAGGAAACTGTGAATAAAGAGTTCCCTGTCCTGGGGCATTTACACTTGACTCAGGCTGGGTCAGTCCACGGGAGCCAGGACCCAGAGGTTAGGCAGATCTATTGATTGGCAGGCCACGTCCTAAGGTCCCAGAAGCAGGTGACAGAACTCGTGGAGAGGCAAAAGGATGTCAGAGGAAGATGGAGCAAGAAATAAAGAGGCCCATAGACAGCTGGCTGGTAAGTGCAGAGACATTCGGTGCTGGGGAGTTGTCGCTGTACTGGGAGATGAGTGAAGTGTGATGCAAAGGAGCCTGACAGTTGGCCAATGGAAGTCTAGGCTTACTTAAAAGGGATGCTCCACAGGAAAATAGGGCACCAGGGATCAGGACCCAGATACAGGGACTGGGGCATGGGGAGAAAACCCTACCCTTCAAGAGTTTAGGCAAGTAAAAGATAGAACCATTGATTCAAAAAGTGCAAAAAAACAGAGCAGGAGAGAGAGCCTCAGGCCTGATTAGATAACATGTTAGTGACTAAGCTTGTGCTAGGTCCAGGATAGGGAAATAAATTGTTGGACTGAGTGCTGGACTGCTAAGCTGCTGGCCTGGTCTTCCTTAAATTTGGCCTAAATAGAAACCAATTGGTCCAAGAACCTGGCTATAATGAAACATACAAATGTAGATGAAGTGATTCTAGCTAACGGGAGGATTGAGGGAAACAATGGGATGGAAGCCAGCCAGTCACTTGAAGGCATTTCTACTTTATACACAATCACTTCACCCACATTGTACAAATACCAGTTATAACCACAAATAGCACTGGAAAAACTCAGTTTTTCTCCTTTACTCTTGCACAGTTCCAACAAAACCTCAACAAGAGAGAAAAAAGCTGATGGAAGAAAAGTTCGGGTGTAATAATTGAGGTTATATAGAATTCAGGCATGCAAATGATATGCAAATTAATTTAGCAACTTGAGTTATTACATTAAGCAAAAACAAATCAGAATTTATATATTTTTCTGATTGCTTAACGTTTCACAATCTCGTGTCCTAGTTCAGAATTTACACTGCTTACTTTCCCTGTTCTCTCCTGTCTCAAATTTCTGAGTTAGTGAAAAATCCATGAACAATTTTAGTTTAAAATTACCTTTAAGATTATAAAAATTAAGCCTTATGTTTTCACTTATTCTTTCAAAATACTTCATTATGACAATCACATGTTAAATCATTTAAATATAAGAACACTGAGATAAAGTCTGGAATGATTTGCCTAGTACTAGATAAATAATTGGAGCTCTGGTGGCAAAGTGGTTAAGAGCTTGGCTGCTAACCAAAAGGTCAGCAGTTCGAATCCACCAGCTGCTCCTTGGAAACCCTATAGGGCAGTTCTACTCTGTCCTGTAGAGTCACTGTTAGTCAGAATCAACTCGACGGCAACGTTTTTTTTTTTAAAAAAAATAATTAGGAATAGAGACTGAACTATAACTCAAATCATCTGATTTCTGTCCGTGTATTTCAGTGGTTAATGACTGTAATTGCTAATTTACTAATTGTGTGTAGTTTACCAACAAGCTTCAGAAATGGAAGGAGTGGAATTTCCACATTTAAAAAAAAATTCTAGCGGGCTTGGAGTTCATATCCCAAATAGCTTCAAAGAAAATGACAGCCTGATAATGTCAACAATATATTTTCTACGTGAAAAAAAGGCTGTGTTATCCTTTATGGTTATTATTCCCTTTGTTTCAGTAGGTTAATGCTGGTCAATTAACATAGTCAAAATGCTTTAAAATCTGGGCTTTTCTCCAGCAAACATTACAAACAAGACAAACTATTCACGATTTATGAATCACGGCCCAAGTGTATCTCCATATTCAGATTAAACTGTGAGGTAAATGTGTACCTAATCAAAAGAAAAAGACAAAAAAACACTTTGAAACACCCATTCATTGCAGTGAAACTGGAATCCAGCAATAGTCCAAGCATGTACTTCAATATTCTAAGTAGGGTTACTCGTATCTGATCATAAGATGCCTATTCAAACCAAACCAAACCAAACCCATTGCCGTCGAGGCAATTCCAACTCATAGGGATCCTATAGGACAGAGTAGAACTGCCCCATAGGGTTTCCAAGGAGCAGCTGGTGGATTTGAACTGCTGACCTTTCGGTTAGCAGCCAAACCCTTAACCGCTGCACCACCAGGGCCCCAAGATGCCTATTAGGTAATCATTATTATCCTAGTAAATTTCAACTATATGTTAAGGTGTAACACCTTAACATAAAGAAAACAAAAGTCCTTACAACTGGACCAATAAGCAACAATATGATAAATGGAGAAAATCTGGAAGTTGTCGAAGATTTCATTTTATTTGGATCCACAATCAACTCTCATGGAAGCGGCCGTCAAGAAATCAAATGACGTATTGCATTGGGCAAATTTACTGCAAAAGGCCCCTTTAAAGTGTTAAAAGGCAAAGATGTCACCTTGA